GGTCAATGACATGAGACAAAGTATATGTGAACTGCTGTATGAAAAATGAATTTACTCTGTAAATCTTCACCCAAATCCTAATAAAAAAAAAAAAAGAAACAGCTTTAGCTAAAAGTTAAAGATATTTTCTACTGAAATAAGTTAGGAGAAAAATCATAGTTAAATTGAAGTTACATCAACTCACCATGTGTTACTGCCCAGAGCTATTTAAAGGAAAGATGGTTTGGAAATTGGTGACTGTATGCTAATCTCGTTCACTTATTTCTTACAAAGTCCTGTGTTTTTCACTTCTCATCAGATTTCTTTATTCACCAGAAACTCCAACCACTGTCACCTTGGTGGCTTTCTGCTTTATGGCTTCCCTTCAGGGCTCTGTTGAGATTCCCTGATCTCTCAGCATAGACTCCACAGAACTGCCTAATAGGGCAAGATATTTGTCAGACTCTGTTCTGTAAAACTGTCTTCCACATGTTGTTAATAGATTGTCCCCAAAAACTGTTTTATAATCAAGTGTCTTCAGGAAATACCACAATAAACAATTGGAAACAAGTTTGTTTACATTGTAATTTCAGAATCTGTAATATGCTAATCATGGGTACTATGAATCTCTAAAAGGACGATGGCAGATGTTGTGTTATTCTGAAATTTTTTTACTCTGTTTTTTTGTTGTTGTCTGGTTGTTTTTTACTTAAGAATGCCTGTCATGCTAGGGCACACAGATTGGGAAATGTTCTAAATTAACTTTTTATTTTTTAATATTTTAATTGCTTTCTATAACTCTAAGTACCTATATATTTTATAATATGATGATGTTTCACTTACTTATATTGTGTTTGCCTGGCAAAATCCCAACCCTGGTTGAATCCAACTTTCTATCTCTTTCACTCCTATACCTGAGCAGTTGAATGCAGCAGGAGAAGATGTACAACATGGTAGCCTGATCCGATTGACATTTGTAACTGCTAACCTCAAGTGGTCCCTCAGTCCTGTCCCACAGTCCTACTACAACTCCCTTGTCTGTTCTTTCAGACCATTAAGTTCCATACTCCTTTTTTTTTTTTTCCCCCTCTCTCAAACATCTCGCACTTCTTCACTGTCCTCCCTCTTATCTGATGACCTTGCTAATTTATTTCATTGAAAAGGGGGCTGGGCAGGTAGAAGAGACTTCCAGACTTCCGCATGCTCACACTCACACATCTGCCCACCTTCCTGATCTGTAACATAGACTGTACCTTCTTCTCCCACATAACCAGCTCCCATTCCCTCTCACCGGTTCACTTCTCCTTGTTGTACGTCGTCAGGCCATCCTTCTCTGTTCAATCCTACCAGCACACGAACATGAGAAAAGATTTTTTTTTTTTTAATTTGTTTTGGTACTTCTTATATCCCCTAGTCCTAGAATAGTGCCCTGAATATGGTAATTGCTCAGCATATAATTCTTGAATAAACGAGGTTCTGTTGTCCATATTTTTTCACCTTTATTATTTTGAACGAATTTTAAGCTTAAAATTTGCAAAATAATAGAAAGAATTTTTTTGTTTATCTCCCTCCCAGCCTCTTGTGAGTATTCCTCAACTTTTAAAAAAAAGGAAATAAAACTTCTTTTTTAGTGTCCTGTTTCTCTTCTTCATTCTATTACCCAACCCAAAAAAACACACCCATTGCCATCAAGCTGATTCTGACTCATGGTAACTGCACATGTGACAAAGTAGAGCTGCCCCATAGGGTTTTCTTGGCTGTAAACTTCACCAAAGCAGATTGAATGAATAAGTGAAGGAGACACGTTGTTTAGATGACTAGTACAGAGAACAATTTTGGTTAGGAACCAGATGTACCAGATATGCGTGCTGCTAAAGAGGCTCTGGAAAAACACATGCTTGACTGAAGGACCCACAACAGGGGTGGGGAGAACAAAGGAAGGGAATCCCTCCTCTTAATACCCAGTTTCTGCTGTTCTTACTGAGGGAGAGAGAGACTGTTTGTGAGTATGACTGAGCTTCCTGCCTTTGCACATTTACACTTTGTTGTTGGTGTTGTTACGTGAGGAATGCTGAAATCCTTTTAGCTTGTCTGTGTGCCCATGGTCTAAGTTTATTTTTCCAGGAATTTTTATGCATGGAAATTCTGAATTTTAATAATGTTATCTTCAAATGTTTTCTATATTTTAGGTTTAAGAATATAAAAAAAGTTTTAGAATATAAAAAAATTTTGTAGGAGAAAGAAAACTTTGCTTGATGTCAACTTCATGTGGTATTTTCCTAATAACGATCTTCTAGGCAATAATATATTGGAAAAAATGAAAGAGTCTTTGGTTTAGCAATAATTTAGCATTTTAAAAAAAAATTGATTATAATAAAGCTATGTAATGTGTTCACAGCCTCTAATTAACCTTATTTTTTATTTTATTACTATTTGTGAATTTATCCTGATAAACAGAATTTTTTAATTTATGTAACCTACAGGTGTGAAGCATCTAGTCCACACATCCATCCAGTTGGTTGGTGTAAAGAACACAGAAGAACCCTCATTACTCCACCAGGTTTGTGTTTCTTGTATGTCTAAGGTTATTCACATACTTCAGGAGTTGGCAAACTTTTTTTGTAAAGTGCCCAATGTTTTAATATTTTAGGCTTTGGGGACCATATAGCCTCTGTCATAACTACTCATCTCAGTTGTTGTACCACAAAAGCAATCATAGACAGTATGTCAATGTGTTCCAGAAAACTTTATTTATCAAAAAGGAAGCTGGCCTACAGCCATTGTTTGCTGATCCCTGATCTTCCTTGCAATGTGTTAGCATTGGGCTGGTTCAAAACAGAACCTCAAATGTTGTATTGCTTGGAAGAATAAGAAATTATGTTTTTAACAGATTTTTCATTTCTCAACTTGAAATTCATATCAAGCTTTATATTAGTATACATTTAAAGATATTACATAACTATGGAAGTGAATTGTCTAAACCTTTGACAAGTACTGACAAAGATAATGTTGTTGTTAGGTGCCGTCGAGTTGCTTCTATCTCATAGTGATCCTGTGTATAATAAAATGAAATGCTGCCATCTTAACAGTCCTACACCATTCTCATAATCATTGCTATGTTTGAGCCTGTTATTGCAGCCACTGTGTCAGTCCATCTCATTCAGGGTCATCTTCGTTTTTACTGACCCTCCAGTTTGACAAAAATATTTAAAAAAAAAAAAGTGACTGCCATTGAGTCAATTCTGACTCCTAAGGACCCCCGTTGGGTTTCCAAGGCTGTACATATTTATGAAAGCAGATTGCCTCACCTTTCTTCTGTGGAGCAGCTGGTGGGTTTCAACCACCGACCACCTTTTGTTTGCAGTCTAATGCCTTATCCAATACACACCTACTGTTCCTTAGGGACAGCATTTGTGGATAGAACCTTGACTATGTATAGCAGATTCACTTCTAGCAAAAATAGTGTTCACATTTAAGTGAGAATTTAAGATTTTAAGATTTTACCTGTATTAGAACTTGAATATTCTTTTCCCCCTTCCTCTTCCTCTCCCTCCCTCTCTTTTTTTTTTTTTTTTTTTTTTCTGTTGTTACTCCAGATTCTAGCACAGATTTTGTGCCTTTGTGCTAGGGGTACCAAAGAGGTTTGCATGCTCTTCTTTTCCTTCCTGCCTCTGACCATAGAGCCTTCTCAGTTCATTCACTTTCTCTTTGACAGGTAACAGTTTACTTGCTGACAGTCTGTTTTCTCTCCTTTTGAGTTTTGCTTTCATGTGTTAAAAAGCAGAATCTGTGGCTTCATCATAATCAACAGTGCCTTTTTGAGACATTACTATTTAAGGTGCCATGGCTACTGCTGATAGGAAAAGATTGGGTTATCAGTTACCATTAAGCATAAAGTGCACTGTAGGTGGTTGCTTGGTGGATATTTATGTGAGTAATGAAGACTGTCAATATTGCAGGGAGAGGATCAGAGGTAAGCTTTTCACACCTTGGCTTACTAGAAGTTGTTTTGTGGATGTAGTCTGCAGAAACGACTGAGCTTGAAGCTTCAGATACTTTTCTCATTCCATTTTAACAGCTGGTTTCATTTTTAGGCTTGTCCCCCAGTTCCTTCCTACAGTGTCTGAGTTAGAGTATCTGATTGAGGGACAGCCATTCACGTGGTGAGCATGTCCAAGTCTCTTATTTTGTTGAGTTTTTTTCTTATGCTAACAGGAAAAAAAGTACCTATCCTGACTGATTTATAGAGCTGTTTTAAAGCCCCAAAGAGCATTTCCATAAACCCTAAAAGTGTTAAGTGAATGTAACCCATTGCCACTGCCATTGAGTTGATTCCGACTCAGCCATTGTATAGGATGGATTAGAACTGCCCCATAGCGTTTCGAAGGCTGAAAGTCTTTACTGAAGCAGATTGCCTTATCTTTCTCCTATGGAGCAGCTGATGGGTTTGATCCACCGAACCTTTGGTTAGTAGCCCAATATTTTAACCACTGCACCATCAGAGCACCTAAGTAAAGACAAGATATTATAAATGGTGTCATGGCCAAAATGTGGTGATGTACTAAGAACAAACTGCCCAGGTGATTTCTAGTATTAGCCTACCTGTGTCCTGTGGCTCGCATGTATTGGAGCTGGTGAATATTGAATTCATGTTCCCTCTTTGCCACTTTGACCATCTAAACTGCTGTGAGGATTCTTTTAGATTTCCCTGTTTGGTATTAACGCACTTCTTTCCCCCTCGACACTATTTTTGACCATAAATGGGGATCTGGTAAATAGAGAACTACTGACCAGCCGGTTTCTCATTCTACCTTCACAGCACTGGGTTAGATACCCAGGAAGGGGGCAGTGTGAGGCATCCTGACCAAGTCATCTGTCCTCTTTCATCAATTTTTATAATTTAGAAAAATATTAAAAAAATCCATTGCCATCAAGTCAGTTCCAACTCATAGTGACTCCAGTTGGGTCTCCAGGGCAGTAAATCTTTACAGAAGTAGATTGCCCCATCTTCCTTCCATGGAGCAGCTGATGGCTTTGAACCACCAGCCTTCTGGTTAGCAGTCAGATGCCTTAGGCACTGCACCACCAGAGCTCCTTTATAATTCAGTAGAGAAATACCTTTGTTGTAGTTGGCTACCGTTGAGTCAGTTCCAGCTCATGGCAACCCTACGTACAACATATGCTGTATGTCCAGTCCTGCTCCATCCTCACAGTTGCTGGCTGTGTTTGGGCCCTTGTTTCAATCACTGTGTCAGTTTATCTCATTGAGGGTCTTTTTTTTTTTTTTATGATTTGGGTGAAAGTTTATAGAGCAAATACACTTTCCAT